TATATATATATATATATAATATAAAATTCTTATATCTGTTCCCTACAGAAACATAGTAACTGGAATGAGGCTCAGGACAGCTTCCTGCTCCCATCTAGACAATCTCTGATGGACTACAGTGTCATTGTTGTTACTCTGGTCACCGCTGGAAGGTACAGCAAGCTCATTCTTAACAGTAATATAGCACCTGAAACTCGGGCCATTCTGGTTGTGCACAGTACCATAATAGTCCTGTCATATTCTCTGTCAACTTACTTTGTGCTAGCTGGGATGTTCTGCTCTGCTGGCTAAAAATGAATATCTATTTGTGTGTTCTTCAGACTCGTGACAGGAGGTGTTGGTAAGGGACACTTCACACACATCTTCATAGATGAGGCCGGACAAGCCATGGAGCCTGAGTGTATCATCGGGATCGCGGGTAAATGAGGAAAGGTTGGGAGAGGAGATTGAGAACTTGAATTAGAAGAACAGATTGTTAATTTCTACACTGTGCTTTCTCTCTCTACCCAAGGTTTGCTCGACCCTGAGAAGGGCCAGCTGGTTTTGGCCGGAGACCCGAAGCAGTTGGGCCCCGTTCTGAGATCTCCACTGGCACAACTACATGGACTGGGTACTCGAAGATGTTTCATGACTTCCATTATATTTTGCATTTATTTCTTCTTCTTAAACTCAGCTGTAGTTCAGTCCTAAAATTATATTTTTAATACCATTTAATATGAAACAGGTCAGTCCCTCCTGGAGAGGCTGATGAAACAGAACGCTCTCTATCAGAAGAGCCAGGATGGTCATTCTGGATTTGACACCCGCTTCGTCACCAAACTGCTGCGCAACTACAGGTTCTAATCTTATCTCTCATCCATTTTTAATGTCAAAAGTGATGACGGATCACTTATTGTCAAGTTCGTCTCGCTCCATCCCAGATCTCATCCCGCCATCCTCACGATCCCCAACGAGCTCTTCTATGAGAATGAACTGCAGGTGTTTGCAAACCAGATGGAGCGGGAGGCCTTCTGTCACTGGGAGCATCTCCCTAAGAAGGTACCAGACCACAACACAAAAACATTTTTGTTTGACAGAGATGTAAGAAGCAAAAATATGTGCTGCTTTTGTAGATAACTGAATGTTTAAACCAAAATATACTGAACACACTGTGAAGTATGTAAATCAGTGTGATCTTGTTTCTACATTCTTAAAAATAAAGGTTTCATTTTTCAGTGAACAGTTCTTAAAAGAACCATTTTTAAATCTAAAGAATCTTTTTCCATTATTAGGAACCTTGAAAGATTCCATGGTTGTTTTTCATGGAACCATAGATGCCAATAAAGAACCTTTATTTTTAAGAGTGTAGTTGAGTTATCTAGGTTTTCGTGCATTATATGTGTGTCAGAGTATGTGTGGAAGGTGCCAATGTTGTACAATGAAAGAATGAATAAAGCACTTTTCTTGTTTCTGTAATGAACAGGGATTTCCTGTCGTGTTTCATGGAGTGATGGGGAAAGATGAAAGGGAGGCCAACAGTCCTTCATTCTTCAACGTGACTGAGATTGAGGTCATCGTCAGCTACCTCAACAAGCTCATTCAAACGCAGGGCAAGAAGGGTCTGCCAAAACTCAGCACCAATGACATTGGCATTATCACTCCTTACAGGAAACAGGTAAGACTGAGAATGGATGTTTTTGCTTTGTGTTCTAAAATGAGCTTATAATAAATAATGGATAAAATTTATAATTTTAAGTCCTATTGGCTTAACATTTGATTAAACGCTTTTTATAGCTATTTTATGCAAAAAGAAAAAGTTATTAAAAATATTAGAAATAAATACCCCTTTATACTCTAACAAAAGATTTTTTTATTCATTTTAGGTGGAAAAAATTCGGAAAGCTCTGAACACTGTGGCAGAGTTGAACAAGTGGAAAGACATCAAGGTTGGCCTGTCATTTTGATGTATTTATTCTTTTTTTTTTCTCCCTCTCCGAGCTCATTTATGAGTCATTTTTGCTGTTGGTTATTTGGTTCTTGTAGGTGGGGTCAGTGGAAGAGTTTCAGGGGCAAGAGAGAAAAGTCATCATAGTCTCTACTGTCCGTAGTAGCGTCAACTATGTCAAGATGGACCAAGACTTCAACATTGGCTTCCTCTCGAATGAGAAGGTCTGTAGTTCATTTCTATTGGATAAGTTGGTTATGCATCTTATTGCCATTTGTAATGCAGTAAATCAAGTATACTGTATATACACTACTGGTCAGGGTCTGGGAAGATTTTGAATGTTTTTTAAAGTCTTGTCAAGGCTGTATTTATTCGATCAAAAATTCAGTAAACAGTCATATTGTAAAATATCATTACAATTTAAAATAGATGTTTTCTATTTTAATATATTTTAAAATGTAATTCATTCCTGTGAAGCAAAGCTGAATTTTCAACATCATTACCCCAGTCTTCAGCGTCACATGATCATAATATGATGATTTGCTGCACAAGAAACATTTCTTTTTATTAGTATTATCAATGTTGGAAACAGTTGTGCTGCTCAATATTTTTTGTAGAAACCGTGATACATTTTGTCAGGATTCTTTGATGAACAGAAATAATATTACTGTCACTTTTGATCAATTTAATCCATCCTTGCTGAATAAACTAATACGTTTTGTTTAAAATAATCACACTAACCCCAAACGTTTGATCACAAGTTTATGTAGTCTGAACAAGAGCTACTGGTTGGCATTTGTGGAATCGAATAGCAGTTGTTTTAACTACAAGAATAAAAGTTGAAAAGTTTATCACAGGAGCTGATAATCAGAGCAGTAGAGGTCAAACACATGTTTCTGACCATCTGTTTGGACTTAGATTAGAGAAATAAAGCCATCCTGTAGTAAAGCCCTTTCTGTTGCCCACAGAGGTTTAATGTGGCCATGACCAGAGCCAAAGCCTTACTCATTGTGGTGGGAAACCCAGTCATCCTAAGCAAGGATCCTACTTGGCAGAGGTAATGTATGTTCCTCTAAAGCTTAATCTGCCACCAACCCAATGGCAAATAGTCTTAACGCCCGAAGGCCACTTACAAACCATTTTGAATTTACAAAACCAACACTTACAAAACCATTTTGAACTTACAAACCATCTGATTGGCTGCCAACGTCTTTTATAACATGCCATATTAGCATTTCTTATGCAAAACAATGACCTCGCTTTACACTGGCCACATGCCCAAGAGAAAAATCGCCCTGTTTTTCTTCCAGTTATATTTAGAAGCACTACACACCGGTTTTGGGCTCTGATTGATACTTGATTCTGTTTGTTTGTGGATTTGAAAGTGGAACGAGTTCTGTTTCATTTCAGGAAATGGTTGCAAAAATGTCACACTGATAGTCTGTATGGACTAGTTCATTAATGTGTATTTGTTTGTGTAGGTTTATCCGGTACTGTGAGCTCGAGCAGGGCTACACTGGCTTCGACTACAAGGATGCAGAAGGAGAGGAGGATGTGGTCAGCCGGCTGGCGTCTTTAAAGATCAGCTCAGATGGTACGCAGCCTTGTGTAACACTTTCAGACCTGAAGTGTAGCTATATTATGTGCTTGTATGACTCATTGCGCGTTTGTGTCTAGATATAGACGAGAGCCCACTACAGCAGCATATGCATCCGGAGTGGGGATCTGAGCAGTGAGGACCAGATTTACAACAATCAAATGAGACCATCAGCTTACATTCAGAGCAAATGAGAATTTGGTTTATTTTTATCGGTAAAGCAGTATTGACAAACTCATTTTATTGTTGATTTCTGCCAGTAAAACAATGCAGATGAATGATTCAATTGGTAATTCAGCAAAACAGTTTGTTTATTCACTACTGAGTTAAAACTGGAAAGATTGTAGCACTTGTGCAACCTGATGTAGATTAAAGATCACAGTCGCATTATCGCTTTAACTAGTAAACACTGTATTTTTATTAGTGCTGTCAACCGATTAATCGTGATTAATCGCATCCAAAATAAGTGTTTTGTTTACATTATATATGTATGTGTATTGTGTATATTTATTATGTATATATAAATACACACATACAGTATATATTTTGAAAATATTTACATTTATATATTTACATTCTTATATTTTATATAATATATAAATATATTTAATATATAAACATATTTTTCATAAATATATACATGCATGTGTTTGTATTTATATATACATAATAAATATGCACAGTATATACATATATATTGTGTAAAGAAAAACTTATTTTGGATGCGATTAATCACGATTAATCGTTTGACAGCACAAATTTTTATGAATGCTCAATTTTTTTACATTTAATACTTAAATGTGTTTTATTTTTCTTTATCACTGAAAATGCAGATTTACATATTTCAAATGCTTTTTAGCACTTTACTGGAAGTAATTAATTAAAATGTTTCTAGCAATTAAAGTTTTTTTTTTAAATTGCTATTAAAATAATATAAAAACAATACTGTCGTATTCATTAAAAAATTGCCAATGCAAATTATGCCAGTATATATATTTAGCTTTTTTTTAATTTTTAGATAAACTTTCTACAATTGTTTTTTTTTATATTATGGTGTTATGTTTAGAATATTGTATGGAATGCATGGCTTTATGCCTATGGTGGTATTGTTTTGTATGTTGTACTTAAAAATGAAGCAGAAAAGACTTGGAAAATGTAGCAAAATAATTATTTTTTCAACAATAAATGGTCCAGCATTTGTAAAATTGATGATTTTTCATTGCATTTAATTTCACACAAAAGGAAAAAAAAAGTGCAACATTGTTTTGTTTCGAAAAAATAGTTTATTATTAACATAGGTTGGTTTCACTACATTCAAACTATTACTACTAGGCCCGAGTACAAAGCATTGTTACTATGAGTGCTCATAAAAATCTGGATTAATAAATCATTTAATACTTCCAGAAAAAAAAGGAAGAGACCATATGAACACACAGCAGATTGATCTCAAGAGTCCAAAGAGGAGCTCTGTATGCCAAGACTGGTCGCTGTAGTAATTTGCTCATGCAGACGACGACTTCACAACGGTCATGGGTCTGTTCTCACATCTGCATAGAGAATTTCACCAATCAGTACATTGAAAAAGAAAAAAAATGAAAGAACATCTTCCTCTTTTATTAGCAGGTAGTGTGTAGTTTGTACTTGGTCTAATGGGATATTCCTTGTGCAAAGTCAGTGCATTACAGTCAGTGTTTTAATAATGCCCAGTTTAATAACTTAAAAAAAGAAATAATTGCCAGTGTTCCAGGTGTTCAAGAATTATACAGATGGTTAGTTTCATGTTCTGTGTGCCTCTGATGGACCTAAACAAGGAAGATTTTATTTTATTTTATATGACCCAGGACACCTTGACCTCTTATTTTACATTAGCAGACGAGGGAAACCAAGCCACACCATGCTAATGAATTCAGCACTCTTTCAAACAGTCAACACAGAGAGGAAACACGGGGGCGGATTTATGTAGCGTTGCTAATTTACCTCATGTCAGGCATCTCATGGCACCAGCAGGGGACCGCAGTGGAAGTGACATCACTATATGGGTTCTACACCAGCGAATAAAAGCCACAGATCTTTTTCTAGAAGCACAACACTGTATAATTAGCTACGGTTATTCTCAAAACCCGGATGGCCTGAACACTTCATGATTTACTGGCATGAAACATTACAACACTGATTGCGACAAAACGTGTGCATGCACATAAACGTTCATCTCAAACCAAACGCATTAAAGACCGCTAACTAAAGGCACACAACTGTGTGGGAAAAGAAAAGTCACTCAAGGCTTCTTCTAACTAATACACATTTGCTAGCAATCATCGGTGTATTTATTTGACGTTTTGCAGTGCTAGAAACCTAATAAGTGATTGCAACTTAAAAAATGTAAAGTTTGCATTAACAATACTCAACCGGCTAACGTGAGGACAATACAGTCTGATTATGTGACATTTATGCATGTGTGGAGGACAAATAGGATAATACAAATGAAATACGTCACATTTCTAATTGGCAGTTGGCTTTAGATCTGACTGAGCCTTCGAAGTGCATGTAATTACTATTTATTTGGGGAATGAAAGATATAAACATACTCAATATTACTGGAGATTTTAAAATACATTTAAACACATGGTTTCTCACTACTAGAAAAGCGTGTAAAGTCACAGAGAAGCTCAAAACTAGCACTTTACCGGAGTACATTCAAATTGTGGAGGGTATGGTGATGAAGGCACTGATTTTATTAACAAATTCTGTGCTATTAAGATATTTCTACATGGTTATATTAATTTCGATTACAATAATATGAAAACCAGACTTAGCTATAATAGGCGATTGATAAATGTGCAAAAAAACAATACCGTTACGACCGACATCATCCGTACAGTACAAACTTAAGAAGAAAAAAAAAAAAGGGTGTATTCTGAAAAACATTGTGCCATAAGGAAAACTAAATCAAGACATATCGTATACTGATCTAACCTGCCTTTCTGCTCAGCCTCTGTCCATTTAATGCATATTTTATTCACATTCCTCCATTTCCCGCCTGTTGGTTTGCATGAAATGTGACATACAGTCCAGTGTATTTATGTTGTTTGGTCAAAAACTTTTTTTTTTTTTTGTGGAGTTTGGTATTTCCTGGTCATTATGGAGATCATTCTGGAAAGTTCTCTCACAACAGCAAGCACCCGCTCCTCTTCTTCCTCTTGCGGACTTGCAGCGCCGCCCTGGTGGCCATTTCGAATACTTCCCTCACGCCCTCCTTAGTTTTAGCGGAGCACTCCAGGTAGCCAAAGGCGCTAATGCGGTTGGCCATGTCCCTGCCCTCCTCCGGTTTAACTGGCTCCTGCAAAACAGAGGAGTTGGAACTGAATCATTACATGCAATAAGATTTAAAACCGAATTATCCTTACTGAATAATGGACGTCAGAATTGTGCAGCACTGTCTGTCCGACTTATGACATACGATGTTAATTCTGCTCACTAAATGGATCGATTTAACAGAGGCCGTCTGCGCAGATTACCGAACACTATCGCTGGCGCATCATATGGGGGGCATCAGTCATTGGTTATTAGAGGTTGGACTGATTGTGCGATGAGTTTGGCAAATGATAACGATCAGGGCTTCTAGAGTGGCAGTAATTCTGGCTGCTAAGAGCTTTTTAATGGGAGGTGCGGCCGGCCCCGGGAACACACCTGCTTCATCTTAGTCAGCTCTCTCCGTGTGTGTTCATCGTTCCGCAGATCCTTCTTATTGCCCACCAGGATTATGGGAACGTTGGGGCAGAAGTGCTTCACCTCCGGCGTCCAGGAGCACTCCAGGTAGCCAAAGGCGCTAATGCGGTTGGCCATGTCCCTGCCCTCCTCCGGTTTAACTGGCTCCTGCAAAACAGAGGAGTTGGAACTGAATCATTACATGCAATAAGATTTAAAACCGAATTATCGTTACTGAATGATGGACGTCAGAATTGTGCAGCACTGTCTGTCCGACTTATGACATACGATGTTAATTCTGCTCACTAAATGGATCGATTTAACAGAGGCCGTCTGCGCAGATTACCGAACACTATCGCTGGCGCATCATATGGGGGGCATCAGTCATTGGTTATTAGAGCTATACACAGAGTATAATAAATAATATATATACAGATATACATTAAATAATAATAAAAAGTAACATAAGATGGTGTTTCCAAACTTGTAAATATACATGAAAATATTTTTTTAATGAATCATAATATAAAATATACATGCACATAGTATTTAGTATACTTAAG